GGCCTTTTAAAGTCCTGAGGAGGTTGAATGAGGTGTGTTACAGATTACAACTTCCTATTGATTATAAGAATATTAACCCCTCGTTCCATGTGTCTCTCCTCAGGCCGGTGGTAGCTGATCCACTCCAGGACTGTGAGATAGCCGAGACTCCTCCGCCCCCGCTGGACATCGAGGGGGCCCCGGCGTACACAGTCCGGTCCATCCTGGATTCGAGACGCCGGATGGGGGGTCTCCAATATCTCGTGGAGTGGGAGGGGTACGGTCCGGAGGAGCGGTGCTGGGTGCCGAGGAGAGATATCTTAGACCCGTCTCTTCTGACTGAGTTCCATCGGGGTCATCCCACGCGCCCTGCTCCGCGTCCTCCTGGTCGTCCCCGAGGCCGGGGTCGGCGCACGGCTGGAGCCGCGCGTCAAGGGGGGGGTACTGTCACGGTTTCTGCCGAGGCTGCTCCTTCTCCTTGTTCGGGCAGGCTTCGGCAGTCGTCGTCCCCGGAGTACTAGCTGCCACCGTTCGTTGTTTCTGTGTTCGTTTGGTTTGGTCTGTTTTGTACACCTGTTTCTCATTTTGTCTTGATTATGTGTCCTTTAAGTTCTCGTTGTTTCTGTCTTGTGGTTGTGTGTAGTTGTTCGTTGTCAGCAGGTGATTCTATGTCAAGTTTGTGCTAATTTTTTCTAGTGAGAGTTCCGCACATTTGTGCGTGTTTGTTATTTACGCTTAGTGCGTTATTTTCCTTGTGCCTCCGGCTCTGTTTATAGCCGTTCATTCTGTGGACTCTATTAAAGCATTTTGGACTACTTCTGCATCCTGCATCTGATTTCCACACCACCCCTACGCCAGCTCTGACACGCATATACAGTGGGGAGAACAAGTGTTTGATACACTGCCGATTTTGCAGGTTTTCCTACTTACAAAGCATGTAGAGGTCTGTAAAAAATCCAGAAAATCACATTGTATGATTTTAAAAGTAATTAATTTGCATTTTATTGCATGACATAAGTATTTGATCACCTACCAACCAGTAAGAATTCCGGCTCTCACAGACCTGTTAGTTTTTCTTTAAGAAGCCCTCCTGTTCTTCACTCATTACCCGTATTAACTGCACCTGTTTGAACTTGTTACCTGTATAAAAGACACCTGTCCACACACTCAATCAAACAGACTCCAACCTCTCCACAATGGCCAAGACCAGAGAGCTGTGTAAGGACATCAGGGATACAATTGTAGACCTGCACAAGGCTGGGATGGGCTACAGGACAATAGGCAAGCAGCTTGGTGAGAATGCAACAACTGTTGGCGCAATTATTAGAAAAAGGAAGAAGTTCAAGATGACGGTCAATCACCCTCGGTCTGGGGCTCCATGCAAGATCTCACCTCATGGGGCATCAATGATCATGAGGAAGGTGAGGGATCAGCCCAGAACTACACGGCAGGACCTGGTCAATGACCTGAAGAGAGCTGGGACCACAGTCTCAAAGAAAACCATTAATAACACACTACGCCGTCATGGATTAAAATCCTGCAGCGCACGCAAGGTCCCCCTGCTCAAGCCAGCGCATGTCCAGGCCCGTCTGAAGTTTGCCAATGACCATCTGGATGATCCAGAGGAGGAATGGGAGAAGGTCATGTGGTCTGATGAGACAAAAATATAGCTTTTTGGTCTAAACTCCACTCACCGTGTTTGGAGGAAGAAGAAGGATAAGTACAACCCCAAGAACACCATCCCAACCGTGAAGCATGGAGGTGGAAACATCATTCTTTGGGGTTGCTTTTCTGCAAAGGGGACAGGACGACTGCACCGTATTGAGGGGAGGATGGATGGGGCCATGTATCGCGAGATCGCGAGCCAACAACCTCCTTCCCTCAGTAAGAGCATTGAAGATGGGTCGTGGCTGGGTCTTCCAGCATGACAACGACGTGAAACACACAGCCAGGGCAACTAAGGAGTGGCTCCGTAAGAAGCATCTCAAGGTCCTGGAGTTGCCTAGCCAGTCTCCAGACCTGAACCCAATAGAAAATCTTTGGAGGGAGCTGAAAGTCCGTATTGCCCAGCGACAGCCCCGAAACCTGAAGGATCTTGAGAAGGTCTGTATGGAGGAGTGGGCCAAAATCCCTGCTGCAGTGTGTGCAAACCTGGTCAAGACCTACAGGAAACGTATGATCTCTGTAATTGCAAACAAAGGTTTCTGTACCAAATATTAAGTTCTGCTTTTCTGATGTATCAAATACTTATGTCATGCAATAAAATGCAAATGAATTACTTAAAAATCATACAATGTGATTTTCTGGATTTCACAGTTGAAGTGTACCTATGATAGATTCCGTCTCTCACAGTTGAAGTGTACCTATGATAAAAATGACAGACCTCTACATGCTTGGTAAGTAGGAAAACCTGCAAAATCGGCAGTGTATCAAATACTTGTTCTCCCCACTGTATATATATATATATATATATATATATATATATATATATATATATATATATATATATATATATACATACACATACATACACATATACATTTTAGTCATTTAGCAGACGCTCTTATCCAGAGCGACTTACAGTTAGTGAGTGCATACATTCTTTTTTTATACTGGCCCCCCGTGGGAATCGAACCCACAACCCTGGCATTGCAAATGCCATGCTCTACCAACTGAGCTACATCCCTGCCGGCCATTCCCTCCCCTACCCTGGACGACGCTGGGCCAATTGTGCACCGCCCCATGGGTCTCCCGGTCGCGGCCGGCTACGACAGAGCCTGGATACGAACCAGGATCTCTAGTGGCACAGCTAGCACTGCGATGCAGTGCCTTAGACGGTTGGGATGGTGTTCTTCGGCTTGCAAGCCTTCCCCTTTTTCCTCCAAACATAACGATGGTCATTATGGCCAAACAGTTCTATTTTTGTGTCATCAGACCAGAGGACATTGTGCAAGTTCTCCCACTTAAAAAGATGAGAGAGGCCTGTAATTTTCATCATAGGTACATGTCAACTATGACAGACAAAATGAGAATGTATTTTCCAGAAAATCACATTGTAGGATTTTTAATGAATTTGTTTGCAAATTATGGTGGAAAATAAGTATTTGGTCAATAACAAAAGTTTCTCAATACTTTGTTATATACCGTTTGTTGGCAATGACACAGGTCAAACGTTTTCTGTAAGTCTTCACAAGGTTTTCACACACTGTTGCTGGTATTTTGGCCCATTCCTCCATGCAGATCTCCTCTAGAGCAGTGATGTTTTGGGGCTGTCGCTGGGCAACACAGACTTTCAACTCCCTCCAAAGATTTTCTATGGGGTTGAGATCTGGAGACTGGCTAGGCCACTCCAGGACCTTGAAATTCTTCTTACGAAGCCACTCCTTCGTTGCCCGGGCGGTGTGTTTGGGATTTGTGTCATGCTGAAAGACCCAGCCCCGTTTCATCTTCAATGCCCTTGCTGATGGAAGGAGGTTTTCACTCAAAATCTCATGATACATGGCCCCATTCATTCTTTCCTTTACACAGATCAGTCGTCCTGGTCCCTTTGCAGAAAACAGCCCCAAAGCATGATGTTTCCACCCCATGCTTCACAGTAGGTATGGTGTTCTTTGGATGCAACTCAGCATTCTTTGTCCTCCAAACACGACGAGTTGAGTTTTTACCAAAAAGTTCTATTTTGGTTTCATCTGACCATATGACATTCTCCCAATCCAAATGCACTCTAGCAAACTTCAGACGGGCCTGGACATGTACTGGCTTAAGCAGGGGGACACGTCTGGCACTGCAGGATTTGAGTCCCTGGCGGCGTAGTGTGTTACTGATGGTAGGCTTTATTACTTTGGTCCCAGCTCTCTTCAGGTCGTTCACTAGGTCCCTCCGTGTGGTTCTGGGATTTTTGCTCACCGTTCTTGTGATAATTTTGACCCCACGGGCTGAGATCTTGCGTGGAGCCCCAGATCGAGGGAGATTATCAGTGGTCTTGTATTTCTTCCATTTCCTAATAATTGCTCCCACAGTTGATTTCTTCAAACCAAGCTGCTTACCTATTGCAGATTCAGTCTTCCCAGCCTGGTGCAGGTCTACAATTTTGTTTCTGGTGTCCTTTGACAGCTCTTTGGTCTTGGCCATAGTGGAGTTTGGAGTGTGACTGTTTGAGGTTGTGGACAGGTGTCTTTTATACTGATAACAAGTTCAAACAGGTGCCATTAATACAGGTAACGAGTGGAGGACAGAGGAGCCTCTTAAAGAAGAAGACCAAGCTGCTTACCTATTGCAGATTCAGTCTTCCCAGCCTGGTGCAGGTCTACAATTTTGTTTCTGGTGTCCTTTGACAGCTCTTTGGTCTTGGCCATAGTTGAGTTTGGAGTGTGACTGTTTGAGGTTGTGGACAGGTGTCTTTTATACTGATAACAAGTTCAAACAGGTGCCATTAATACAGGTAACGAGTGGTGGACAGAGGGGCCTCTTAAAGAAGAAGTTACAGGTCTGTGAGAGCCAGAAATCTTGCTTGTTTGTAGGTGACAAACCAAATCCTACAATGTGATTTTCTGGATTTTTTTTCTTCTCAATTTGTCTGTCATAGTTGATGTTTACCTATGATGAAAATTACAGGCCTCTCTCATCTTTTTAAGTTGGAGAACTTGCACAATTGGTGGCTGACTAAATACTTTTTTTCCCCACTGTATCTTATTTTCCATCATTATCAATTAATGTGTGTAATAACGTCGGCATTCATGCGTAGGATTTTAACCTATAATTCCCCCCCCCCCCCCCCCCTTCAGAATCTTGAGGGGGCGGTGCTGCTCAAGTAGGTCTCTGACCGCATTTATTTCTCTGTTTAGGCTGCATATAGGCAATTCACAGCAGGTCCATAAAACAGATGGGAACTTCTCTTTGGTGTATGGGTCGCTCAGGTGCATAAAGTTACACTGAAGTGCTGTTGGTGTACTTACTTTCGTTACCATGGTAAGTCCCAGAAGATAGCTTATGCAACACATCACAGCTATAAAGATTTCACGGCGGTAACCCATACGTAGGACGGATGGATATAGATCCACCAGGGAGGTGATCTGTCCTTCCACTTCGACAAACTGGGGAGACAGAAAGAAAGCCATTAACCTTAGTGTCCCACCAGAACGCTGATGGCCATTACCATTATAATTGGTATTGCTTTTAGGCCTTATTGCACAAACATGAATGCCAAATACATTATAAAGTAACAGCCTACACTCAGTGGCCAGATTATTAGGTACACCACCCTGTTCACGAAAATAGTTCACAGGTCTGGGGCTTGCTATGTAAAGCAGGCAGACAGTAATCGAGGCATTCAGTTACTGTTCGATTGAATGTTAGAATGGGCAACTTTGAGCGTGGAATGATTGTCGTTGCCAGTATCTCAGAAATGGCCGGTCTCCTGGGCTTTTAACACACGACAGTGTCTAGGGTTTACTGACAATGGTGCTACAAACAAAAAACATCCAGTCAGCGGCAGTCCTGTGGGTGAAAACAGCTTGTTGATGAGAGGTCGAAGGAGAATGGCTAGAATCGTGCAAGCGGGCCAAAAACGGGCAAATAATGGCGCAGTACAACAGCGGTGTGCAGAACAGCAACTCGGAATGCACAACTCATTGGTCCTTGTCACGGATGGGCTATTGCAGCAGACGACCATACCGGGTTCCACTACTATCAGCTAAAAACAAAAAGATGCAACTCCAGTGGGCAAGCAATCACCAACACTGGACAAATGAGGAGTGGAAAAACATTGCCTGGTCCGACAAATCCCAGTTCCTGTTGCATCATGCTGATGGCAGAGTCAGGATTTGGCGAAAACAGCATGAGTCCATGATCCCATCCTGCCTGGTGTCAATGGTACAGGCTGGTGGCGGTGGCAGTGGTGTAATGGTGTGGGGAATGTTTTCCTGGCACACATTAGGTCCCTTGATAGCAATTGAGCAACGTTTCCATGCCCCGGAGAATTCAGGCTGTTCTGGAGGCAAAGTGTGGTCCGACCCGGTACAAGATGGGTGTACCTAATAAAATGCGTACTGAGCATATACCATATACACAGGTTCCAAATATGGAATAATGCCTCTATCCATGGCCTTCTTTTTCCTCTTCCTCAAATCACTGATTAGAGAATGACTGCTGTCTCTGTTGTGCAGTAATGACACATTTTATACAAGGCTTCTCTCTCTCTCTCTCTCTCTCTCTCTCTCTCTCTCTCTCTCTCTCTCTCTCTCTCTCTCTCTCTCTCTCTCTCTCTCTCTCTCTCTCTCTCTCTCTCTCTCTCTCTCTGTTATAATGCCATTGGCTGAATAATTTAATAGGCAGTGCTGTTGTTGTGGTGGAAATGTATATGGAGTCACACTTCTCTGATTTAGTGAAATATACTTTGTTATTCAGCATACACTGAAAACATTTTTCAGTGTATTTGTTGTTTGACTGAGATGTCATTGACCATCAGGAGGGCCGAGTTAGCAGAAAGTAAAATTACACTTGGAAGCAGGAAATGTGATAGTGAGAGAACCGCACTGATGCCTCCCTGGCCTCTCCTCCGTTCGTCTTAGTCAACACCTCGGGAGTCTGGGCTGCAGGGACACCTCAGAGGAAAGCTATAGGATTAAACTGTTTGGTTCTACCTATTAACTTATTATGTTTTCAGAGATTAATTTATTACTGGTTCACATACTTCTACATACTTCTACATCTTCTACGTTCAAGCCTTCAAGATGTAACAACTTATTTTCTTGTCTGGATTTTGTATCTTATTATAAGTTCACTGTAATGTCCAGAGTTCTCAACTGACATGGAAATGTATTGTAAATGTTATCTATTTATAGTCTGTATTTAATATAAAGACTCTGAATTATTCATATCGCCGATACAACTAGAAATATACCATGTCACTAACATTTTCCAAAATGGAGATATGTTGTATTGTTCTTCGTTTGAAGGGTACTAACTACTGTACTGGGGTCTTCAAAGGAAGTATACAAATAAAAAAGGTACTACACTGAACAAGTGTTGGTCCCATGTTTCATGAGCTGAAATAAAAGATCCCCGAAATGTTCCATATGCACAAAAAGCTTATTTCTCTAAAGAATGTTGCACAAATTAGTTTACATCCCTGTTAGTGAGCATTTGTCCTTTGCTAAGATAATCCATCCACCTGACAGGTGTGGCATATTAAGAAGCTGAATAAACAGCATGATCCTTACACAGGTGCACCTTGTGCTGGGGACAATAAAAGGCCACTCTAAAATGTGCAGTTTTGTCACACAACACAATGCCACAGATGGCATGCTGACTGCAGGAATGTCCATCAGAGTTGTTGTCAGATAATTGAATGTTAATTTCTCTACCATAAGCTGCCTAAAACATAGTTTTAGAGAATTCCACAGTAACCGGCCTCACAACAGCAGACCACGTGTATGGCGTCGTGTGGGCGAGTGATTTGCTGATGTCAACGTTGTGAACAGATTGCTCCATGAAGGCGGTGGGGTATATTATTGATTGCTAGAGCTGGAAACACATCAGATGGCTTCCACAACATGTGAACAATATCAGAAAAACGAATGGGATTGATAGACCAAACAACTAGAAATGGGCAGATGTTTTAGTAAGTGGTGTCAGGTGTAATCACGGAACGTTTCCAAGCGTCCCTAAACCTCTCCAAAGTGGCATATGTCTGTAAATTAGATAATTCCAGTGCTATTACATATTTGCAAACCCTAAATGCTATTTGTTCAGTATAAAAACACAATTTCTACCATATCAACCTCACTAAAACATTGTTGTGGTGTTATGGGGTATCCAGGGTACATTCAAGTGTCCTTTCAACCTCTCCAAAGTGTCAGAATGTGGTAATTGCACTGGTTTTGCACACTGGATGTGCCTAAAATTTCTACAACAACAACCTCTCTACAACATTGTGGTGGTGTCGGGGGACATACAGGGGATATGGATGCATACAGTGCGCAAACAGGCATCATATTTTTGATGCGCAAAGATATAGTCACTCAGTGGACATTCGATGTTACCATTAAGTCATACATCATCAGATAACATTGGCAATAGGCTAGAGATTTGTTCCTACCAATCTAAGGATTAATTTGATACCTTTTTTCCTTATATGAACTGTAACTCAGTAAAATCTTTGAACTTGTTGCATGTTGCGTTTATATTTTTGTTCAGTTGAAGTCGGAAGTTTACATACACCTTAGCCAAATACATTTAAACTCAGTTTTTCACAATTCCTGACATAAAACATTCCCTGTCTTAGGTCAGTTAGGATCACCACTTTATTTTAAGAATGTGAAATGTCAGAATAATAGTAGAGAGAATGATTTATTTCAACTTTTATTTCTTTCATCACATTCCCAGTGGGTCAGAAGTTTACATACACTCAATTAGTATTTGGTAGCAAAGCCTTGAAATTGTTTAACTTGTTTAACTTGGGTCAAATGTTTCGGGTAGCATTCCACAAGCTTCCCACAATAAGTTGGGTGAATTTTGGCCCATTCCTCCTGACAGAGCTGGTGTAACTGAGCCAGGTTTGTAGGCCTCCTTGCTCGCACACGCTTTTTCAGTTCTGCCAACACATTTTCTATAGGATTTAGGTCAGGGCTTTGTGATGGCCACTAAAATACCTTGACTTTGTTGTCCTTAAGCCATTTTGCCACAACTTTGGAAGTATGCTTTGGGTCATTGTCCATTTGGAAGACCCATTTGCGACCAAACTTTAACTCCCTGACTGATGTCTTGAGATGTTGCTTCAATATATCCACATAGTTTTCCTTCCTCATGATGCCATCGATTTTGTGAAGTGCACCAGTCCCTCCTGCAGCAAAGCACCCCTATAGCATGATGCTGCCACCCCCATGCTTCACAGTTGGGATGGTGTTCTTGGGCTTGCAAGTTACCCCCTTTTTCCTCCAAACATAACGATGGTCATTATGGCCAAACAGTTCTATTTTTATTTAATCAGAGCAGAGGACATTTCTCCAAAAAGTACAATCTTTGTCCCCATGTGCAGTTGCAAACCGTAGTCTGGCTTTTTTATGGCAGTTTTGGAGCAGTGGCTTCTTCCTTGCTGAGCAGCCTTTCAGGTTATGTCGATATAGGACTCGTTTTACTGTGGACATAGATACTTTTGTACCTCCAGCATCTTCATAAGGTCCTTTGCTGTTGTTCTGGGATTGATTTGCACTTTTCACACTAAAGTACGTTTATCTCCTTCCTGAGCAGTATGACGGCTGCGTGGTCCCATGGTGTTTATACTTGCGTACTATTGTTTGTACAGATGAACATGGTACCTTCAGGCGTTTGGAAATTGCTCCCTAGGATGAACCAGACTTGTGGAAGTGTACAGTTATTTTTCTGAGGTCTTGGCTGATTTCTTTTGATTTTCCCATGATGTCAAGAAAAGAAGCACTGAGTTTGAAGGTAGGCCTTGAAATACATCCACAGGTACAACTCCAATTGACTCAAATGATGTCAATTAGCCTATCAGAAGCTTCTAAAGCCATGACATCATTTTCTGGAATTTTCCAAGCTGTTTGAAGGCACAGTCAACTTAGTGTATGTAAACTTCTGACCCACTGGAATTGTGATACAGTGAATCATAAGTGAAATAATCTGTCTGTAAACAATTGTTGGAAAAATTACTCGTGTCATGTACAAAGTAGATGTCCTAACCAACTGGCCTAAACTATGGTTTGTTAACAAGAAATTTGTGGAGTGGTTGAAAAACGAGTTTCAATGACTCCGACCTAAGTGTATGTGAACTTCTGACTTCAACTGTACTTTACACTACTGTATGTGTCCCTACTACCTGTATATTTACATTGTAACTACATAGGCATAGTGTAATTACAATGTAGATACACTAACTACGTAGTGTAAGTACTTTGTAGATACATATTGTTACATGGTCCTTGAAACTAGAGTACCAAGTACTGTATTACCAATATAAATGTATAGTAGTTATTGCTTTAGTACTGACCTGACTGTCGAGGCCCAGTAGCAGAAGCATGATGAAGAACAGAATGGCCCAGAACGTGGGCATGGGCATCATGGACACAGCCTTAGGGTAGGCAATGAAGGCCAGGCCAGGACCTAGACGGGGGAAAGAGAGGGCAGGGGGAGAGGGGGAGAAGAGAATGAACCAACCCATCTAATTTGAGCTTGGACGTTATGAGGGGGAAAAAACATTAAACTAAACACATTCAAATGATCTGAAATGGTAATTACATTTACATTTACATCATTTAGCAGACACTCTTATCCAGAGCGACTTACACATTGGTGCATTCACCTTATAGCCAGTGGGATAACCACTTTACAATATTTTTTTTTTTTTTTTTTTTTTTTTTTTTTTTTGGGGGGGTAAGGGGGGGGTAGAAGGATTACTTTATCCTATCCCAGGTATTCCTTAAAGAGGTGATGCTACAGTTACAGTACTGGAAGAGACTAAGTGATACACCTTTTGGTATGTTATGTGTTTGTCTTATGTAAGGACTGGATAGTTGGAGGAACTATCCATTAAGTATCTGCTACCGGTCATATGCTGTGTGTGACTCTAGCATCCTGCATTAGTTTACTTGCTAAACAAATATTGTCAAAGCAGATAGAGGTTTGACCAAAAGCTACTTCAACAGGATTTCAAGGGCACTTGAACATATACAAAATGACAGCAAACTCAACTCAACAAACTATCATTAACTCTTGCAAGTCCATCCAGGCAGAATAACACAATGAACTATCCTTATTATTTACTGTTATCCACAACCATTTACATTTAATGTAACCTTTTCGCATATATGACCTATTCTTCAAGTTAAACTTTTTCCAATAAATATGCATGAATTATAGCATTTAAGACAACCATTGATTTTCTTTCATTCCAATTGACATAAACACAGCAGACATAGCTATAACAGTCACAGTACAATAGAATTCTCTCTTCGTAATAATTGAAGTCAAAGTACATGGAAACAGTTTCTCTCTAAACCAGGTTGTTGTTTAGGGAGGAACAATCGCAACACTGAACTGAACAGAGCGGGCATGCTGAAAGAAGATGCATCTCCTTCGAAATCCACATAGAATATAATATCATGGTGGGCTAGCTAGAGTCCACTTCAGGGATCCACAGCTCAATACAGTTAAGTACTTAACATTACAGTTACATTACAATACTTAATACAGTCATTTTCAACAACTATTTCACTGGTGGTCTACTGTATTACCCAACACAAATTATAACAATTACCAATTTTATTGGAACAGAATGCCCAAGATTGTCTTTTTTTGTCTTACTGCACATTACAGCAACTCCTCTAGACAATTTTTTTATTCAATAAATACACACTCAAAGGCACCAGGTGCGCCAATGTTCCACTCTAGGGTTTATAATCTATTGATAATGTTGATGTTGTAAAAAAAAATCATGGCATTCTATATCATTACATCTTATGGATGACCCCTCACCATATAGAATGGCATGATTTTTTAAATAAACTTAAATATTATAAATAGATTATAAACCTGTAATGATGTAATGTCATAGTATCGTGGGGACCAGGTTAGAGTTACTAGATAAATGGTTTGGGGCCACGGAGTCTACATTCCGTTATGTCAAAGGAGATTACTGATGTTTATGATAACATGATTGATGGACAGGATATACTGACTTGGGGTAAAGAGTAATAACATCAAAGAATGGGAGTGCCCATGATGATTACCAGATGTTCGTGGAGAGACTTGTAACAGAGTGTATATATAGAGAGAGTGGATCTTTGTTCTGGAGTGAGGGAGATGGTAGAGGCAAAGCTCTGTCCTTCTGTTATAACTAACCATGGTACATATTAAATACTAATATGAACTCCCCATCAAAAGTGTCTAAGTACATCCTTACATTCGTAATCACTTCATACCCTAGAAATTCATCATAACAAAACCCTAGAGTGGAACATTGGCACACCTGGTGCCTTTGAGCCCAGGTGGCTGTGGATGGTAGAGTACAGCTGTGATTATAAATCTGGTTGATTAGAGAGGCTCTTTATTTAACCCAGCTTTACATGGTGCAGCAGTAGCTTAGACACACGTCACAGCACTCAAACAGGGACAAATTCACTGTGGAAAACACATCATACAAAAGCAACAATTCTGTTTCTTTCAGGCTTTTATTCAATGATTGTGCAATTGCCGATAACTCTACATTTCAGCATTGTCGTTTCCAAAACCTCTTTTGACATTACGTTTGTACGTTCTTTTCAAATGTGGGTGTCTTTTTTACTAAATATTTTTTTTCTAACTTTCCAATCATCTGTTTTGTTCTGTAGCAGTGCCCACCATCACTGCTACGTTCACTGTTGACCTTTGACCCTCATACCTGACTCTGCCACATCGGCAATGTCCACCCCTTGCTCTTGTGCCATGAAGCCCAGGACGGAAAATATTGCGAAGCCAGACACAAAACTGGTACCGCTGTTCAGGCCTCCCAGCAGCAAACAGTCCCTATGTCACACATATGTCATGGAGGATGTTAATTTACACAGACGGAACCAAAGTTCCCATTTTTTTCTTACGCAACCGTCTTTGACACGAGTTGATCTCACTACTACTACATCCGTCCCCCGTCCCCATGACAACGAAGCTCACCTGTAGCAGTTGTATTTGTACTTGTTGTAGCTCCCCAGTGACGTCATAGCCCCCAGACAGATGGCGTAGGAGAAGAATATCTGGGTTCCCGCGTCGATCCACACCTGAGGTGGCAACAGCAACAACATGATGCCAGTCTGTTCAGTTCACCATTCATCATACACCTCTGGTCACATGGTTGGCAATCTTTTTCATCTTTGTTGGGACATAATTGGGTTAGATTAACTTAATGTGATGAGATTTTACATTTAATTTGATTAGGCATTTTATTATGAGCTTTTCTGTCTCCGTTTAATTGAATGTACAAGTAACTAATCTACTGAGTCGAAGACAAATAACTGCTTGATTAAACATGTTGCGAGCGCAAATCAAATTTAGGGGAATAAAAAGGAACATTTCCATCAAAACTGAACATCTTGATCTCCATCAAAACTGAACAGCCTATTGTTATAACATCGGAAATCAAAAAGAACACGTGGGATTGCAAATCTAATTTATCCAACAAAAGTAACTCAGCTTTTGGCTCAGAGAATATAATAAAAAGCATCCCTAAAAGCACATGATGTTGCAGAATGATTGTCATGGAACTTTTCAAGTCCACCAGGTATAATTAAATCTCATCTGCTTTCATGCCCTCAGTACTGTATGTCCATAGATTTCACTGGGACCAACAGAGAAACACAGCTTATCACTTTCCTAAGTTTCCAGCCTATTCTTGCTACACCCACTTCAATCCAGAGGAGGGAGCTAATTTAATTATGTCATAAACCTGGATGATTGGCGAGTCTTGCATTGTGAACACATGTTCTCTCAATTATAGTACCACTAATAATTCAACCAGACCTAAGATCTAACAAAGACTGTGGACTGGTTCCTTTTCCGCAGTCTAGATGACTTTGCGATGTAGAGATGTCAGTAAGAGGCCCTAATAGACGTGTAAGTAAACAGATATGCATTGGTGCTGTTAGGGGATATGTGGGATAAGGTAATTGGGGGCAGCGGAGGGGACTGTACAGACACAGTAGAGATGGCTAGAGGGGTGGGGATAAGGATTCTGGGTTTTGGCTCCTACCTCTGGGTCCTGTAGGCGGGTCAGGTTGGGGTAGAGATAGAATTTGATCCCTTCGGATGCCCCTGGCAGAGTCACTCCACGCACCAGCAGCACGATAAGCATGACGAAAGGGAAAGTTGCTGTGATATACACCACCTAGAAAAAACAGATAGAGACATATTAGCTGATGTCAAGGTTCCATGATGCAATGTGAGAGAGATCGTTCCATCCGCTGATGTAAAGGTTCCGTAATGGAATGGAATTTGGAGAGGATGCTTGAGGTAGAAGTTGCCCCCAACTCCAGACCTACTATCCCCAACCAATAAGGTGATGAAAAAATATCTGATCCTCAGTCTGTGGTTAGTTTAGGGGTAACTTCTACCCACTCCGTAGGTCAGCCTTTACAACAACAAAAAAAACACATTAAAAAATCACGTGGTTTATGTGTGATTTTTTTTAAACGTCATGAGTCAGACATGGTTTTCGGACTCATGTGAAGTTTCTAAAGTACATTTTTCTCTAATTACATTTTTTGTGACATTTATTTTTCCTCATGTCACTTTCAGCTACATCTGGTCTCCCATCCACAGACCAAGCAGTATTGATCCTGCTTAGCTTTAGAAGCAAACCAGCAGTGGGATGCAGGGTGCTATGTTGCTGGAATGAATGTGCCATAAACTTGCTACTGGAAAAAAGGAAGCCAAAGCAAAGGCCAGCGTAGCAACCAAAGATAGGAACAATTGCAGAAAACAGGGATTCGTTTTATTTAATTATGTTATTTATTTATTTTTATCACTGAATATTAATTTTTTTGCCATCCATTTACAATGAATTTATTCTCGCATTTAAAAATGATTTCCATGCAATATTTTGTTTTGCTGTCAATACTTTTGGGTTTATGTTTTGCTTTCAATATCATTATTTTTGTTTTCAATACTAAGAATTTTGTTCTCCACTTCAGAAGTTTTGGTTGATATTAATGGCACAAAAGAGGGTTGCACCCAACCCTTAATTGAAACATTAACAATGTGTTTCCCCCGCTACAGTTTCAGTAAAAAGTTGACAAATTCTTATTTACAATGATGGCCTACACCAGATGACTCTGGGCCAATTGTGCGCCACCCTATGGGACTCCCAATCACAGCCGGTTGTGATACAGCCTGGACTCAGGGATCCACACTTGTCTCACAAACACCACTCTAGCACAGCCCCTGTTAATCACACTGATTCAGAAGAAATAGACTAATCCAATGGTACAAACCAGATGTCTGTAGCTCAAACACACAATGTTTAAAAGGGGTTAGTCCAAATTGCGCTAGCTTCACGGTGGGACTCATTGGGGGGCAGTGACCTTCATTCAGCAGAACTATGTCGCCATTTGAACGTAATTCATTAACCTGCCCCCCAAACTATTATTCTGTCCACTTGTCAAGGGGTGCTGAAGGTGGGTGTGGTGCAGGAATCAAGCGCAGGACGCAGAAGCTAAGTCCAAAAGACTTTAGTGAAATATTCACGTAGTAAACGAGCACAATAAGCCCGAAGGCGAAATAAAGGCGCACACAGGCGTCAAACAAAAGGCGCACTAACATGTGCGAAAACCTCTCCAAACAACGGAGGGAAGTACGTAGCTCAGAACACCAAAAACAGAAGAGCAATCACACACAACACCAAACACACACAACGAGAACTAAATAGGACACTAACGAGGACTAACTAGACACAGGTGTACAACATCAAGACAAAACCAAACGAACATGAAACATAGATCGGTGGCAGCTAGTACTCCGGGGACGACGACCGCCGAAACCTGCCCGAACAAGGAGGAGGAGCAGCCTCGGCCGAAACCGTGACAGTACCCCCCCCTTGACGCGCGGCTCCAGCCGTGCGCCGACCCCGGCCTCGGGGACGACCAGGAGGACGCGGAGCAGGGCGCGCGGGATGGTCCCGGTGGAACTCCGACAGGAGAGATGGGTCTAGGATGTCCCTCCGCGGCACCCAGCACCGCTCCTCCGGGCCGTACCCCTCCCACTCCACGAGATACTGGAGACCCCCCATCCGGCGTCTTGAGTCCAAGATGGACCGAACGGTGTACGCCGGAGCCCCCTCGATGTCCAGTGGGGGCGGAGGAGTCTCTCCTATCTCACCTTCCTGGAGTGGACCAGCTACCACCGGCCTGAGAAGAGACACATGGAACGAGGGGTTAATATTCTTATATTCAACAGGCAGAAGTTACCTATAACACACCTCGTTCAATCTTCTCAGGACTTTAAAAGGCCCCACAAACCGCCGACCCAGCTTCCGGCAGGGCAGGCGGAGGGGTAGGTTTCTGGTAGAGAGCCAGACTCGATCTCCGGGTGCGTACACCGGCCCCTCACTGCGGTGGAGATCGGCGCTCGCCTTGTGACAACGGATGGCCCGCTGCAGGTGGACGTGTGCAGCGTTCCACGTCTCCTCCGAGCGCCTCATCCAATCATCCACCGCAGGGGCCTCGATCTGGCTCTGCTGCCAAGGTGCCAGAACCGGCTGGTAACCTAACACACATTGGAAGGGGGTTAGGTTGGTAGAGGAGTGGCGGAGAGAGTTCTGGGCCATCTCGGCCCAGGGAATGTACCGAGCCCACTCCTCAGGCCGGTCCTGGCAATACGACCTCAGAAACCTACCCACATCCTGGTTGACTCGTTCTACCTGCCCGTTACTCTCCGGGTGGTACCCTGAGGTAAGGCTCACCGAGACCCCCAAACGCTCCATGAACGCTCTCCATACTCGGGAGGTAAACTGGGGGCCTCGATCAGACACTATATCCTCGGGTACCCCGTAATGCCGGAAGACGTGGGTAAATAGGGCCTCTGCGGTTTGTAGGGCAGTAGGAAGACCCGACATAGGGAGAAGACGACAGGCCTTAGAGAACCGGTCCACAATGACCAGGATGGTGGTATTCCCCTGAGAGAGGGGAAGGTCTGTCACAAAATCCACCGAGAGGTGGGACCATGGTCGTTGTGGAACGGGCAGGGGTTGTAACTTACCCCTGGGCAGGTGTCTGGGCGCCTTACACTGGGCGCACACCTAGCAGGAGGAGACATAAACCCTCACATCCCTGGCTAACGTGGGCCACCAGTATTTAGTGCTAAGACAATGCACTTTCCGGCCAATACCCGGATGTCCAGAGGAGGGTGACGTGTGAGCCCAGTAAATGAGTCGATCCCGAATCTCGAGCGGAACGTACTTCTGACCCTCAGGACACTGTGGAGGGCTGGGGTCGGTACGCAACGCTCGCTCGATTTCGGCATCGACCTCCCACACCACCGGTGCCACAAGACAAGACTCTGGTAGTATGGGAGTAGGCTCAACGGACCTCTCCTCCGTGTCATACCGCCGGGACAGCGCATCTGCCTTACCATTCTGGGACCCAGGGATGTACGTGATTTTAAATACGAACCTGGTGAGAAACATACTCCATCGAGCCTGGCGAGGGTTCAGTCTCCTCGCTGCCCGGATGTACTCCAGGTTCCGATGGTCAGTCAAAATGAGGAAAGGGTGTTGAGCCCCCTCAAGCCAATGCCTCCACACCTTAAGGGCCTGAACTACAGCTAACAGCTCCCTGTCCCTGACGTCATAATTACGCTCCGTCGGGCTGAGCTTTTTAGAGTAAAAAGCACAGGGGCGGAGATTAGGTGGCGTGCCGGACCGTTGAGAGAGAACGGCCCCTATACCGGCCTCAGACGCGTCCACCTCGACCTGAAAGGGTAATGCGGGGTCCGGATGCGCCAGCACCGGAGCCGACGTAAACAGGTCCTTCAGTCTCCTAAAGGCCCTGTCCGCATCAGCTGACCACTGCAGGCGCACCGGACCCCCTTTCAGAAGGGACGTGATGGGAGCTGCCACCTGTCCAAAACCCCGGATAAACCTCTGGTAGTAATTCGCAAAGCCCAAGAACTGCTGCACCTCTTTGACAGTGGTTGGGGTTTGCCAATTACGCACAGCGGACACACGATCCACCTCCATTCTCACCCCTGACGCGGACAACCGATAACCCAAAAAGGAGACCGACTCCTGGAAAAACAGACACTTCTCTGCCTTGACATATAGATCGTGCTCCAACAGCCTCCTCAATACACGAAGCACCAGGGCTATATGCTCGGCTCGGGCAGACGATTACACTAGAATGTCATCAATGTACACGACCACCCCTTGCCCCTGCATATCCCAGAAAATGTCATCTACGAAGGATTGGAAGACTGATGGAGCATTCATCAACCCATATGGCATGACGAGATACTCGAAATGACCTGACGTGGTACTAAACGCTGTTTTCCATTCGTCGCCCTCCCTAATGCGCACCAAGTTATACGCGTTCCTGAGATCCAGTTTTGTGAAAAACCGCGCTCCATGCAACGACTCCGTCATGGTCGCAATCAGAGGGAGTGGATAACTGTATTTCACAGTAATCTGATTGAGACCACGGTAATCGATGCACGGGCGCAACCCTCCATCTTTTTTCTTCACAAAAAAGAAGCTCGAGGAGGCGGGAGAAGTGGAGGGCCGTATGTATCCCTGTCTCAAAGATTCGGCTATGTAAGTTTCCATAGCTTTTCTCTCCTCTTGAGACAAGGATACACGTGGCTCAGTGGGAGCGCTGCTCCTGCCTGGAGATCAATCGCACAATCCCCCTGTCTATGAGGAGGCAACTGCGTCGCCCTAGCTTTACTAAACACGAGAGCTAAATCCCCATATTCAGGCGGAATGTGCAGTGCGGGCACTTGGTTTGGAGTTTCCACTGAAGTCGCCCCTACGGAAACACCCAGACATCGCCCCTCACACTGAGCAGACCACCCATTGAGAGCCCTCTGTTGCCACGAAATAGCAGGGTTATGGGTGCTTAACCAGGGAATTCCCAGCACCACCGGGTACGCAGGAGAGTCGATCAGATACAACTGTATAGTCTCTTCATGACCCCCCTGCGCACACATCCTAAGTGGCGCTGTGACTTCCCTAATCAACCCCGACCCCAACGGGCGGCTAGCTAAAGCATGAACGGGAAAAGGTTTGTCAACAGGTAGGAGAGGGATCCCTAAATCTAAACAAAACTTCTGATCAACAAAATTCCCAGCTGCGCCTGAATCTACTAGCGCCTTATGCTGGGAATGAGGTGCAACCTG